TGTACAAGGTGATACAGCTGACAGAGTCGGGAGAGTTTGTCAGTGAACTGCTCACGTTAGAAGATGGCGGTCAGACAGGCATGTGCGATATATTCTGTAATAAATACGGTTTCTTATTTCTATGCACAGACACGGAAGTGAAAGAGTACGTGTTTGTCTGACATAAAAATCAAAAGAATGAAAGTCAGTGCAGAGCTGTGGTTTATGACATTCTGTGCATGGTGTTAGTCTGGAATGGCTTGTGTCTTCACCAACACGTATGGGCATAGCTTTGTCAGTGAATTGCAGACATGCAATATTCAAATAGGTCGTTTCCAGCTTGAAGTGAAATAGTCGTATTTCGAAAAACGAAGAACATTTTGTGTTGGATAGAATTGAGAAATAACGACCCGGTGCTGGTTAGGTTTTTTGTTACTCGGAAGTGTACATGTTTCCGTGTATTTGACCACACCACTGAATGTATTTAGAATGATCTCATCATCCGGTCAACAAAACATTGGCCCAAAAACAATTTCCAAACGATATTTCTAGTATTGAGCGCTGTTTCCTAAAACATTATATAATTCCTTTCAAAAAGTTTAGACTCACTAGTGTAATATACTTCCCGCCAAAAGTTTAGACTGTTTCAAGTGAGTCTAAACTTTTGACAGAAAGTATACAAATTGAAGTCTTGAGGTCAAGGGTATACTGTATCCCTGTTTTCACATATTATACACAGGAGACACTATGTTGAAATGTCACCCAAAGCCAAATTGTTCTCTTTTCAGATTTTATTGCTTGTTAGGAAGTAAAATGAATGTGCGCAGTTTTTATTTCTGTCCGTTAGATGACCCTGAAGATGAGAAATTCATGTGATAATATGGTTGGAGAAAGAAATTTAGTGAGATTTCAGGTATTAAATTATATTATTTCGTAGAGCAATGCTAACATTTGAAATACTTGACGTCACGTTTCTCCGTCAATGTATGGAGAAAATCGAGCCATTCAGTGCATAGAACACTAATCGTCAATAAAGGGTTTTGCCCAAACCTATGGGCATCACTTTGTCCATAAATTGAAAGCCTGGAAATTTCAAATAGGCCATTTGCAGCCTGAAATGACAAAGTCCAAACGACCCACAGGAGAATCAGACTAGTCGATACGGTTGTTGGAGAGATACCCGGAATGACCTGAGCTGCACAACAACTACTTGACTACGACCAAACCAGCCACAAAAGTATTGGCCAATCTTCCGAGTCTTCCAGTTCTTAAACCGCAATATTCCCCCTTCCCCTAACACCTTGTGTCATGCAAATGCCCAAAATGAACCAAGTGTAAATTGTCCTCAGGTTTTGGGGGGGCTTCATTTCAGTTTATAATAAGTACTTTACTTCTATACAGTTCTATTGTTTCAGAGAGAAAGCGTCAGTCTGTCCATTCACTATCAACCCAAGACTGCCTGTGGGTATCGTTTACTCTGTGCTATACAGACATACCAAGTTCATTATATGTCAATTAAATAGACGAAATGATGACAGAAGGACAGCATGATTTGAACAAATTCAATATTTTCTATCACCTGTAGTAAACCAGCCCAGGCATGTCTTGACAAAATACCCCAGTAGGCATTCTAACATCTCTGCTCATGAAAACCTGGCAGCATGGACATATGTATGACATTGCATCCAGCAGCTCGTAAGAGGGGAGTAAGTTGTTGTATACAGAGCATGGACATATGTATGACATTGGATCCAGCAGCAGGTAAGAGGGGAGTAAGTTGTTGTATACAGAGCATGGACGTTTCTTCACTATTATAACCTGATTATTTGTTCTCAGGTGAGATTTTAAGTGAGTCCTCTGATTCAATAAAGAATGACTGGACCCGCAACTATATATAGGAAATGTACTGTGAGGCAGAGAGAGAAAGAGTCAATTGCATCACACCTTTACGTTTCTTTGAATATTACATCACAGTAATCATGCTCATACTTTGCTGAAATATTTTCATCCAACCGAAAAACAGTCCATAAAGAATTAGATGTGAAACCGACGAAATAAACTAAAGAAATATGCTTTAATTAATTATTGCAGTTAAGGGTTGGCAATGTTTTCAAATCACTGAGGTATGAATCGAAAAACCATTGTGCAGAATTTATGCATCCGTATAGAGCAGCGAATTCATACAGTTTGCACATTCTTTTTATTCATACCTCAGTGAACCGAGAAGAAAGGTACTCAGTCAATCCTTCTGATTAACTTGTTCCAAAAAAGATATCTACAACACTTTCATAAAAAAGCCCTATGTATGAAAGCTGACAGAAAATACGTGAATGAATTCATACTGTGGCGTAACGTGTGTAAGGTTATTGTTGTTAATTTATGCACATAACGTCAGTAGCCAATCAGCGGAGAGTAGCATAGGCCGACAGGACCCATCGATCACAGTAGGAGGCTAGCAGAACTACAAACGTCAGACTGGAACGAACGAACAAACATGTCAGGCAGAAGGTTTCTATTTTACTTGAGATGGTCAGTAACTACCAAATTCAAGGATTGGTTTCCTGAGAACGAGCGGACACATTTTAAAAAATACTACTTGAGAATAGAACCCGAACACATGTCCTTTGTGTAACTCAAAATAAACATCAAGACAGCGAGCCTTCAGTTCCTGCAGGGATGTTAATGTATGTATTCCTTTCAGGCTTCTGTATCGAAAGATGGGTGAGTGATCCTGCATATAGATGAACATTGCCCAAATGCCCTGTAGACGATTGACACAGGTAAAAGGAAACGGTTGGTTGGTTGTTTAAAGCTGCACTCAGCAATATTCCAGCTATATGGCGGCGGTTTGTAAATAATCGAGTCTGGACCAGACAATCCAGTGATCAACAGCATGAGCGTCGATCTTCGCAAATAGAATGACATTTTCCAACCAAGTCAGCGAGTCTGACCGCCCAACCGCCTCTTACGACAAGCATGGGTTGCTGAAAATCAATTTTAACCGGATGTTCACGGATCAAACAAAAAGGGACTGGCCTCGATTGTAGCCGATATTCTCCAACAATCTATAGCAGTAAAAGTAGTCCGTTAGTCGTCTCTTAGGACAAGCATGGGATCACTTCTAACCCGGATCTTCATGGGGTTTTAAGTACTACACAGAGGACGTCCGATCCTGGCAACGACTATATGTTGAAAATAGGAAGACTGAAGATAAACTAATCATTTGAAAGATGTCTGATCTCTCCTTCTGGAAACAAAGAGACTGCGCAGAGAAAGAATACTTTATCACTAAGACATTAGTGGATCTTCAAACAATATTTACCTGTGTGAAACATACCTGTAGTCCTGACATGTACGCTACGTTCCGTTTTCCATACACAGAGAACAACCCATAACTGCAGAAGGAAATAATGGCTTCTACTTTTGATATGACATTTGACTTGTACATAAATAACTTGACTGTTGGAAGGTTGAAGACATCCTCTTGTTATAAAGTCGTGTGGAAAGTGTAATTCTAAATCTTTAGGAATAAATATACAGAGATGACACGTCTCACCGGCCTCGTGCATTTACAGTTCACTTGGTGGCCATTGAATGATTTAAAATATCGGTCTACCTCAAGCTTAGGATTTTTATCTTAAAAAAAGAAAGTAAGCACATGCCGCTTCATCGGTAACTTTATAGGAAATGCATGCAGTTCAACTCTGGTTTGTGACACTTCAGTACTGCTGAGTGTGTTTTCTTCAGTCTTAAATCCATTAACAGTGCAGGAAAGAGTTTTGCAATAATGGAAGGGAGACAACACTACCGAGATTATTTCGAGGTCCCAGCGAGCGGTGTTAATGTACTCCATAGAGGAAGTAAGCGCATAAAAGAGGCCAAACAACATATACCTGTGGAACAAGTGAACCGCTAGAGCGAGAGACACTGACACATCGTGTACGTAGGGAGTGCTGCTCCGCCTGCACCTCGCCAGCAACAGCTGACATCAGCCTGCTAAACATGTTTCTCAATGTGGCTATGTCAATATAACATTCTGAATAACTTTTTTCTCACTGTATTTTTTTAAATTAGAATTTGAATAACCAGGGTATTTTTTGTTCTCTTTGAATTAGTGCTCCGAGAAGTCAGTGGGAGTAACAGTTACAAAACACATCCATTTCTTTATTTTAAAAAACGGTTTGCAAGATGTCAAACTTTTTCAGACTTCCCATAAGATTCTAGCTGTTCGGGATTTTAAAACACTAAAATTATTGCCTTTGGTTGGAAAGTTTGTCGAGTGAAAGGAGGTGTCACCGTGCCAATTCATTACAAGAGTTAGCCTTATGGGCGACAACGCTCACTTACTGTTCAGGCCCCGATTTTCGAAACAAACTTAAGTCTGAGTTATGACTTAAGTTAGAGTTTTTGCTCAAATTTGAGGGAACGCATTGCCCAGAATCGATATCAAACTCAAATATAGTAGACAAATTGACTTTGAAGAATAGAGTACTAAATTGTTTGAACTCTTTTATTTTAAAAATGCAGCCAAGTTAGAAATTCAGCTGCTTCAAATTGTAAAACTCAGTCTGAAATTGGAGTAAAAACTTAAATTTGTTTCGAGAAATCGGACCCAGACACAGCCTTCAAATTCAGTATATGTGACCCATGTAATCACTTAGTAGGGAACACAGGGAGTGGGTGTAGGACAGGGAAATAATTGTAACAAGTATTGTTCATGTTGTTTCCAACATTTTCTGAAAGTTGTTTTATGGAACATTTAATTTGTTTGGCACTTCAATGAAAATGTGATACTGTGTTGCTGCCGTGTAGATGCCCTGCATCGACGTTTCCTTTGGGTTGTGTTGACAAATTACGTGAATTTCCTGTGAACATACCAACACCTGGTGCGGGTTTTTACGGATAGTCAATACCGGCCGATAAGAGCCCAGCCGAGAGAACATAATATTATACGGAAAAGGCCGAGTTCAACCGATTGTGACAAACCATGCTCGAGCACACAGCCACCGGAAAGGTAGACTTTCTGTAGAGTTCATGTTGTCAAACTAATCACTCCTACTGGTATTGTGTTTTGTCTATTGTTATTCATTAACTAACAGAAGTCTACGAGTGTCAATACGTTCTGAAATCAGTGATAATAGTGAGAATTTAACGGGGAAGTTGTCTACTTTCGTTATCACTATAAACGATGGCCTCGCGATGGTGTTGTAACATGCAGCGATGGAGCTAACTGGGTAAATCTAATTATACAAGGCTATTATCATTGACTGGTTCATTGAGTTGAAAATTTAACAGTGTTCAGGTGTTATTTCGGTGAAGGTATCCATTCAATCCTTCCTAAATCTGTGTTTTGAGCGACAACTTCCTGTCTGTGGCTAGGGGGCGTGTCGAGCATGTGCATTGTAAGTGTTTGCCTTTGAAAGGGGTCGAGGTTATCCGTGAGTGAATAGATACCATGTAATGCTCCAAGTCGTGGCGGTGCAGATATGTGGGTTGTGTTTGCCACACCTGATCAGCATGACAGGAATGTAGGTTTTGTCCGAGCTTCCCTGTTAATATACTGTTCAATATAGACAGTCAGAGAAAACACTGTGTATACCTTAATAGGGAACGGGAAGGACAGTCCATGACATCCACACCAGCGTTAGTAATAACAGGGTGGGGCTTGACGTTGTCATAGTAACATGTCAGTCCAGGATCATGTAGCTCCATATATGGCCGAAGATGATGGGTGAAAACCTGGCCCCGATACTGTTTGGTCGTAACATATTCCTGGACGACAATCGGCTGAGATAAGCACCATTGGCACGAATACGCTACCAAAATTACTATGGACTTGCATGGTAAATAATAAGGTCAATAAGATGTCAGTGTTCCCAGTCTGACTACTCAGATACAGATAGATAGATAGATGAAAGACATGTAGATAGATATCCGTTTATATTTACTATGTGTCTGTGTGTGTGCGCGTGTTCGTGTACAGCTTCACATACAGATGCGTGTATGTTCAGATCAATCATTGCTGCTTGTACTGAATCTAATTAATTTCTTTTAAACTAAGAAGGCGCAAACTGCATGTGTATCTTACAGATGGCGACCGCCGGGCTCGAGAAGAAAGTAAAGGATAATTTCCTGACTTGCTCCATCTGCTTGGAGATGTACACAGACCCGTGTACACTGAGGTGTGATCACACATTCTGCAGGAAATGTGTCACCTCATACATCCAAACCAGACCCGATGCTGTACAGTCCAAGACCATCCCCTGTCCCTGCTGTCGACAAGACACCAAGGTCCCCCACCCCAGGAGGCCGGTGGAGGAGTGGGCGGGGCAGATCAAAGCCAGCATCATTATACAGGGGCTGATTGACACCTATAGGTCCGAGGAAGATCTGCAAGGTAAAGTGAAAATATGATATGCGTGTGTGTATGTGTATGTATGTATTTAAATCCAGTGGAAGACATGGCATTGACATCTGTGTGTGTTAAAAATACCCTTTTTTAGTAGCCTTTTCAAGTTGTGATGAAAATAAGCACGTTTGTACTTGTGTTTACAGGGACCTCGAGCACCTGTTGTACGATCTGTCAGCAACTAGGGGAGACAACTCCAGGGGCCTTGTGGTGTCCTGAGTGTGAAGTGGCCCTCTGCGACAAATGTGTGAAGACACACCGGGTGACCCCTATTTTATTGAACCATGACCTATGTGACCTGTCATCTAGGTCAAAGGTCAAACGGAGGATCAAGTGTACGGAACACAAGAGTAACCGTATTGAGTTCCACTGTCAAGACTGTGGGAAGGCTGCCTGTCAGACATGTTGTATCATCTACCACAGAGCTTGTAAGGCTGTCGTCACCATTGAGTCTATGAAGCCAGGGATGAAGGCAGCACTGATGGAGAAGAGACTTGGCATGGAGAAGAGACTGAAAGTGAGATCGAAGAAAGAAGACATACGAAACGAGAAGCTCCAAAGTAGTTCTAGAATCACAGAGTCAGCTGTTCAAAATATTAGGTTGATCTGCCAGACAGCCATTAACAAAATTAAACAGAAAGAAACACAACTCTTGGATGAACTGAATAACATATCACAGACATACGCCGACCAACTCCGAGCTGATGTGAATCTGGAAGAGATCGAGATGCAGATGTACAGACAACATTGTGAGTTCATTGACCAGGCCTTGGTATCGGACTGGGAGATGGACTTGTATGACGCGTATCAGGTCTGGGACTCTGGAGCTGTAGAGATGGAGGCTGTCAGATGTACAGAGGCAGCAGCCACCCGGAGAATAGATCACATCGGGTTTACACCAGACACTGACAACGTCCTGAAGGTCCTAGATAACCTGCAGTTTGGGGACATCGACGTCACATACCAGGACAGATGTCTGTCAACTCCTGTGCTGGTTGACACGAGAGATGGGAAGGTGGTGGATGAGGTAAAGCCTGATCTAGGTGATATGACAGTTCTGGTTGTAGATGGTGTACAGACATGTGTTGTTACGGACTATAATAACAAGTGTGTGAAATCGTTCTTCACAAGAAAGAATCATTCATGCCATAGTAAACTTCCCCTGGATAACTCTCCAAGCGGGATAACACAGTTGAATGAGAAGCAGGTGATGGTTGCTGTCCCTTTATCCCGTCAGATTGTAACTGTAGAAGTGACCCCTGACCTGGTGCTGCTCTCTACCACCACAACACGAGCCGAATACTGGAGTCTGGCTGTTCTGAATCCTTCATCTCTAGCAGCAGGTACTTGGGAACGCATGGATATCCTGGACATGGCTGGACACGTGTTGAGGTCACTCACTACATACAATGGCGACTCACTGTTTACCTACCCCTGGTGCATGTATGTCAACAACAAGGGCAACCTTCTTGTGTCTGACAAGGGGAAGAAGTCTGTGACATGTCTGACGCCAGAGGGGGATGTTTTATGGAGATACAACCGTACCGGAGACAAGGCACTCAGCTACCCTTGTGGTATCACAACTACCAGCACAGGAGACATCCTGCTTGTAGATAGGAACGCAGACAAGGTGATACAGCTGACAGAGTCAGGAGAGTTTGTCAGGGAACTGCTCACGTTAGAAGATGGCGATCAGACAGGCATGTGTGATATATTTTGTGATAAATACGGTTTCTTATTTCTATGCACAGACTCGGAAGTGAAAGAGTACGCGTTTGTCTGACATAAAAATCAAAAGCATGGAAGTCAGTGCAGAGCTGTGGTTTACGACATTCTGTGCATGGTGTTAGTCTGGAATGGTTTGTGACTTCACCAAAACGTATGGGCATAGCTTTGTCAGTGAATTGCAGACATGCAATATTCAAATAGGTCATTTCCAGCAAGAAGTGAAATAGTCCACATGATCACCAGGTGAAACATGTAACAGTGTGCAAAATACTGTAATTATTTTGGCATTGTCTTGGTGTTTGGCTTTAATTATAAGCTTTAAAATATTAATTTCATAATGATGTAGGGACCCCCAGGACTACTCATTTGGAGCCTTGCCACCTATGTTAGGATATTTCACAGTTCATATTTTATACCAACTGTGCTGATTGGCCCAAAGTTTATGAAGAAGCCTTGAAACTTCTCATTAGCTGTAAGTTGCTGCTCATGTTTTTTATGCAAGGCAAGATGCTCAGTATTGTTCATTCTGGCTGGAAACTTCACCAGGGACACATGTTTTGGTCTTGAAGGAACTGAAGGTTAGTTTTATGTATTATAATGTATTAAGGATAAAAAGTCCAAAAATATTTCAATTGGTTTATGGTATTTTAAAGAATTGTTGAAAGTACATGGAATGTTGAGATAAAATACTTTCCAATATCTTGGTGATGTATTTGTGCAAAACGATTTGCATTGCACTTGTGATGTATTTTATACTAGTGTTTTGCATAGCATTTATAATTTCAATATTGTGTTTAGATCTACTAGTGAAAGCGTTCTGATGAAGCACCAGCCATTTGATTCAGCCCATAGCTGGTAATTATGTGTAATTTGGTAGTTTTATCCATAATGCTCTTTTCAATAATTATAATAGCTGTCACTGGCCACATGTATATTTATTTAATGTTTCTGTAATGTTCCTTAAATAGTTAGTTGTATTTATTTAATGTTTAAGGAATATTTAAAGATAACGTTGTATTTAAATATTATAATCTGTGACACACGTACATGTGCTATAACATATTGCAGAATTGATCGCGAGTGTGTACCACTACATCTGGCTGGATTAAATAAAGAACTATGCCCTACGGTTTGCCACTTGTAATCAATGGGACTAGCCCGTTTACAAAGATACCAGTTGATATAGCTCTTGTGGAGAGTCCTGGGATGACCTGAGCTACAGAACGACTACTTGATCTCAACAGTCTGCTGAACCTGGTGCTACTTGAGGTATAACCGTCCTGGGTACAGCTGATGTGTAACGGCACCACAAGAGGAAATATACCATTCTATTCAAAGTATGCATGAAACCCAGTAGACCTATATACATAGACTAATGTATGGATGGACAAGGACTAGGTCAGCCGGCCTGCTGAAGTACTAGTATATACGTCCTGGGCATAGCTGAAGTGTAAAGAAACCCCAAGAAGAAATATAGTTGATTGATTGAATGATTGCTGTTTCACGCCGCACTCAGCAATATTCCAGCAATATGATGGCGGTCTGTAAATAATCGAGGCTGGACCAGACAATCCAGTGATCAATAACATGAGCATTCATCTACAAAAGTTGGATACGATGACATGTGTCACCAAGTCAGCGAGCCTGACTACACAGTCCCGTAAGTCGCCTTTTATGACAGGTATGGGTTGTTGCAGATCAAATCTAACCCGGATCTTCACTGGTAAACGGAAATATATATCTTCGTTCAAAGTATGCATGAAACCCAGGAGACATGCGTATGCACAGACTAATGGATGGATGGACAAGGACCAAGACAGCTGTGAAACGTTTGGTCAGTTTTCGGAGTATCTTCCTCATAGAATATTCAGTATCGATACATGTGATCTTCACCCAAGCAGGAGGATATAAAGCTTGCATTGTCCAGCAAAGGACTTGGTGAAACACACCACTGGTGACAGTGATTATAGAGATATTTATACTTTGGCAATAAAAGGACAGCGTGATCTTTACGAAATGTGGTAATTTGTACTCGCGGAGGCATTCTATGAAAAGCAAGGCTGTTTTTTTCATTTGAAAACACGCATTAGACAGTCAGATAGTTACAATCCCAAAAACATTTCGGAGATGATAATTTAAAATTACACTTGAGTGTTTGACAGTTCATTTGACCCGGCATTAAACCGAGGCAACATTTTCTTTTTCAATATTCGTTCAATTATGTTTTGCCAATGCCACTTCGCTGTTTTAAACAACGTAGGAATCGCCTACATAGCATGAGGTATACACGACATTTAAGTGTTGCGCGAGCCTTTAGATTTGTGTGGTTCTTTAACTAAAGTTTGGCTTCATTAAGTAGCATAACAGATGAGCATAACAGATTATTTGCTTTTTCAAAGCAAGACGGTGAACCTTTGTCAAAATGTGGGAACCTTAACGGATTTTTTTAGCTTGACATAAACTGTCGTGTATTAATTCTGAAACTGCGCAAAAATAAAATAGAAAAAAGGTCCTTGATAGTCTAAATGGGCTTTGTTAAAATGAAGGTATTTGTGCTTTTTATCTAACGACACCCAGAGCAATATCCAGCTGACAATCCAAACTGAGGTCAATTAGTGATAATTATTCGTTTTGTCGTGTCGGACTAGATAAAACGGTTACATTTATAACCCGAAGAAAACGATGGAAATTTGCTGGAATTTCCATTGTTCAAACACGGACTGTGATCCATTTCAACTTTATGTTTGACATTATGCAGGAACCTAACAGTTGCAAACAGGAAAGCTGCAACACATAGTTTAGATTGCACATCGCAGGAGGTGGTATCATGAACTCAACTTCTTTTTGAAACCGTTGAATTATTTACTAGCATCATCAAAAACTGTTCACTAAAGGGTATCTTCTCAGTATGACTACTCCTAGTTTGACTACTCGTGACCATAAATATGTAATGGAGCACACCTACACTTTATAATGTACTGTACCTGTATAGTTGATTACTCCCAGATTGTCTACTCGTGACCATAAACATGTAATGGAGCACCCCTACACTTAATAATGTACTGTACCTGTATAACTGATTACTCCCAGTTTGTCTACTCGTGACCATAAACATGTAATGGAGCACACCTACACTTAATAATGTACTGTACCTGTAAAGCTGATTACTCCCAGTTTGTCTACTCATGACCATAAATATGTAATGGAGCACATCTTCACTTAATAATGTACTGTACCTGTAAAGCTGATTACTCCCAGTTTGTCTACTCGTGACCATAAACATATAATGGAGCACACCTACACTTAATAATGTACTGTACCTGTATAGCTGATTACTCCCAGTTTGTCTACTCATGACCATAAATATGTAATGGAGCACACCTACACTTAATAATGTACTGTACCTGTAAAGCTGATTACTCCAAGTTTGTCTACTCGTGACCATAAACATATAATGGAGCACACCTACACTTAATAATGTACTGTACCTGTATAGCTGATTACTCCCAGTTTGTCTACTCATGACCATAAATATGTAATGGAGCACACCTACACTTAATAATGTACTGTACCTGTATAACTGATTACTCCCAGTTTGTCTACTCTTTGAAATAAACCTGTCACAGAGACTCCCAGGGCCTGCCTATAATGATTAGAAGCCAAGGGAATTGGGGATCTTGTGATCATTCATTGTTTGTGACAATTGTATCTGATGACTACTAACCTAAACACCAGGTCATGTTTAATATATTGGGGATGATTGGGGCAAGTATGAATTTTCTTGATAAGTATTGGATACTGTCCTCCACGAGACTCTAAAGAAATAGTTTACATTGCACATCTCGGGAGGTGCTAACATTAACACAAATACTGTTCACTAAAGTTAGGGGCATATTTCTAAAATCGTAGCCTCCCCAGTACTGATTTTGTTTGACACTATTTTCAGTTAGTATGATGTCTTGGGCTCATGAAAAGGCCTGTAATACTCTCAGATTGTGGTATCAGGGTTTTTTACAGGCCATTATATGTGGTGGGGGTCTGCGAGCATTTTCGTCACATTTGGTTTGCTGCCCGACAACACCTCAAAGTTAATCATTAATAGTTTTTTTACTATCAATCTGACCACTTTCATTTTGACTTCTGTGTACTGCTAAAGGATGTAGAAATTATTTGACATAATTTTGTTTGAAAAAAAATCAAAATGGCCGCCATTTTGGCCGCCATTTTGTTTTGTCGTGTTTTGCCTTCTCAGCACTTAAATTTACATAAAAATGAACACCGAATGTTTCCATTTACATCCAAAGTTGATACTTTTGATGTTTTTTGACACTTGTTTCTCCTAGAGTGATGGCTTGGGCACAAAACAAGTCATTTTGTATGATAATATCGTGGTAATTTAATGTTTTACAGCTTATTCTTTGAGACAGGGGTATTTTAGCGATTCTCCGACTTTTCATGGAAATGTGTGATGGTGATTTATTTAATGGCAGTTAACATTATTTTTGTTACTAAAACAAGTTGTTTTTGTTTTCTCTTTACTTCTAGAGTGACGGCATGTTATTAGGAATGTTTACATATTACCCAGAATTCAAAATGGCTGCCATTGTAGTTTAACTACATATACTTAGTGGAGGACTAAATTTGTACTGATATGAAATCCAAACAACGCATTTGGTGTCTAATGTTTAATACAGTATAGGAATAGAGCTAAATTTCAATGATATGGTCAATCAAAGCTTCACACTCCTAAAATATTTGATGAAATAACATTATCCAGAAGTGTTTGAAAACTATGCTTCATGACCGATAACTACGTCTAAGCTTTGGTTGTAGGTATTCAAATTGTTCTATCAGATAACTCTTAATCACATTTGATACATCCATAAGCTTGCAATTAACCCTCCTTTTCACTTTCTTTCATTTCATATGTTACTTCATGTCAGAATCGGACCTGTAAAGATCCGGGTTAGAATTGATCTTCAATAACCCATGCTTGTCGTAAGAGGCGACTAACGGGATCTGGTTGTCAGGCTCGCTGACTGGGTTGACACATGTCATCGTATCCCAATTGCGCAGATTGATGTTCATGCTGTTGATCCCTGGATTGTCTGGTCCAGACTCGATTATTTACAGACTGCCGCCATATAGCTGGAATATTACTGAGTGCGGTGTAAAACTCAACTCACTCACTCACTCATGTCAGAATCGGAGTCATCTACTGGCAACAAGTCAAAGGTGTTCGGGCAACAATCATCTGCCATACAAATAAACATGCCTCTGTACACACTATATCATTCTTTCTGCTGGCATGCTGACCTTTTGCATTTACACGATGTCAGTTCAACCAATCCACGGGGAGCAGGATCTCTCGACATCAGAATAGGGATAAGCTGACCATCACAAATGCTCCAAGCATGGTCAACTGGTGAAGGAATGTTCATGATTGGTTGCAGAGACTGTTTCCAAACATGGACTTGGTAGTTTACTCGTTCAATGTGATGTTTTAGACTGTTGGATGTTGGTGGGAGGTTTTCATTCAATATCTTGTGTCATCTACAGACATCACTGGATTATTTGGTACATACATAGAACTCACAAACTGGCCACAAGATGTAATGAGTGTTTCTTGAACATCTAGATTGTCACCCAATTGTGTCAATGTTTGTTGGTGATTTTCAGAGGACTTCTGTAAGTTAATTCCCCATGTCGAACGTTCTACACGTTCTAAAATGGGACGGAGTAATAACGTACTTAAAATGAGATTGCCATACTAAGAACGGAATTGCCATACTACGAACGGAATCGCGGCGCTTCAATCTTACTGGGTACGTGTGCGGACGTAGTGCAGTCCGGCATCAATTGCAATACGTTTGTACACAGTTTCCAACTGGTCCATCCAACTCTACTGAACTCTAGTTAGTCGCTATTCCAATCAATTATGTTCAAAACAAAATGAATTGTTCTGAAGAAGCTTGTAGTACACGGTTTTAACAGTTTGCAATGGGTTCTCATTACGTTCTACTCGTTGTTAGTATGTTTATGTAGTTCTCATGCAGTTCTTACTTTGTCAACTCTGTGTGCATTACGATATGACAAGGTAGGGTATATATACATGCGTTTTTAACATGGTCG